TCCAAATAGAGAGGAAAATTTCGATGTAAATTGTTGTGGCCCGTCCAGTCGTCTAATTACCGACCATCGGTCGGGGGGAGAAAAAGGGAGGGAAAGGGAGAGGGGGGGATTGACCGGCCTACAGTAGCAGTTTGTGTACCAGGTTCTCTCGGTGCTCGTCTCGGTTCGTCTACATGGCGTTTCCCTAAACGAAGTTAGTGTCCGTCAGCGGCGCGCCCCGCCCGTTTATTACACGCGTCCACGCATGTGTGTCCGTGTGCATCGAGTGCAGCAAACGCATTGGCAAATATGTTTTCGGTAGTTAATTCATGCAAAAGATGTCGTAAAACTACGGGGGCGAGCCGAGCAGGCTGGCTACCGTCTGTCCGCGGGCCCGGGCCGGGCCTATGGCCGCCCCCTTGCTCGCGGGACGTTTTAACGACGGCGGATAACTTAGTGCATGCTTCCTTCACCTTGATCTCGTTCTCTGCGGCCGCACTAAATCTCCAGAGATATCATCGCGTGTGTCTTTTTCATTTTTATATTCGCTCTCTGCGCCGTTTCCTCGTCCCCACGCGCGCACAGAAGAGCCCGAGGGACCGGCGCGCCGGAAGCACAGAGGGCGGCGGGGTCGGGGTGCTACGGGGCCCCACTAACGAGGACGAGACACGGCGGCAAGTTTATCCGGACGCGCGGAGTGAGATTGTTTGCCAAAATGATAAATTCACGCATCAACTATGTGGCGTGTGTTGACCCCGCGAGAGGTTTGACGCTGTCCCGACAGGAACAACAGCACGCGACGCAAAGGAATAAGGCAAAGAGGAGCCGCGCCAGCGGCCGAACGCCTCGCGAACACGGCCGCTACACAATAGAGCAGCTCCCATGGGGCGAGCAGCGGCAGCCATTAGGGCGATATACAAGCCGACCAACAGGCCCCCGCGTGGCCCACGTCGCGGGCGGCCGCGGCACCGACGCAACGGCGACGAGCGCCTCTATCGGCCGCCCCGCCCCGCCCCGCCGCACGTTCCGCAGGCCGCGGCCGTCCTCATCGGTTACACACAAAAGGAAGATAAAAATGTCCCTCCCGCGCCGCGGCAGCGCGCCCTCTTGTATCAAAACACAATTTATCAGGTGTTTTCCCCAC